AACACTGTTTAAATGGTGCCTAGATCTTTTGCTGGGACAATTTCTGTCTACACTTTATCCTCTTAGAATAAAGTGCTAACGAACAGTAATTTCTACAATGATTCTCAAAATGAATTTCATGGATTGGAGAGGGAAAGAGAAAGCTGTCTAGAAAAAGTCTTACCAGGAATTTACACAATTACTGTAATTTTTAAATGCTATGTAATTGGTTCAATAATCATCTTTTAAAAAAGATTATAGAAGCATATTCCAGACCACCTGGATCATAACATTATAATCAAATATCACCATAACTGCAGTGTCCATGCTTGTGCTCATAATTATACTGGTTCTAGGTAATCACAGAAAATGACAGCATTTAGTGTAATGTAGTGGTTCTCAGCCTTCTTTAGTCTCAGATACAAATATTCTTTGGCTTGAAAAGGCATAACTTGAGACTATTCATTCATGCTTAAAACAAAGACAAGCCAGGTGCCGGTGGCTCATGCCTATAATCCTAGCTACTCAGTAGATAGAAATCAGGATGATCGCAGTTCAAGGCCAGCCTGGGCCTATCTTGAAAATATCGAACAAAAAAAGGACTGGCAAAGTGGCTTATGTGGTACAGCACTTACCTAGTAATCCTGAGGTCCTGAGTTTAAACACCAGTACCACAAAAAACAAAATAAACACATATTGGGCACCCATAAATGGCCTGGGTGAGAAAAGATAGAAGAGGAGCACAGGCATAGTGGCTCACACCTGTTACCCTAGCTACTTGGGAGGCAGAGAACAGCAAGATCATAGTTCAAGGACAACCTGGGCAAAAAGTTTAAGAGAGAGCATCTCAACCAATAAAAAGCTGTGAATAGAGATGTGCCTGTCATCCCAGCTAGGTGAGAAGCATAAATACGAAGATCATGGGCCAGCCTGATCCAGGCATAAAACAAGACCCTATCTCAAAAATAACCAAAGCAAAAAGGCTGGTAGTATGACTCAACTGGTAGAACACCTGTGTAGCAAACACAAGACCCTGAATTCAAACCCCAGTATCACCAAAGAGATACAAGAAGGTTAAGCCTCCATACTCTAGAAGAGGAAAAAGAAAGTAATAAAAAGAGTTTTCCTAAAGTACTAGGCAACAGCTAAAGAAACTGGATGGACAAGGAAGCCTTAAACAATAGTACATGTAATAAAGACTGCAGAAGAATGAACATTAAACAGAAGAAAATGGGATGAGAGGATAGGCCCATATCCTAAACTACAGGACAAGAAAGAATGGAAGGTTAGCAGATTTTGAATATTTCTGGGTTCTATATACTTACTAGTATCATCCTACTAGAGGAGGCTAACTGCCCATGGTAAAGGAGAAGAAATTTAATAGGCAGAAGAAGCAGAGAGAGAGAGAGAGAGAGAGAGAGAGAGAGAGAGAGAGAGAGACAGAGAAAGAGAGAGAGAGAGAGAGAGAGAGTAGAGAGTGTATGTAAGTGTGTGCATGCTGTATGAACAGTTATGTTTAAACGAAATCTGTAGGCTGTGGGTTTCTAATTCAAAAAACATCTAAATATAGAAAATCGAATGGAATATGAAGATAAAAGACTTTTCACAGGTAGCAAAATGAGATGGTTTAAACTAGGCAAGGTTTTCTAGAAAAGGAAAACCTGTTAAGTATTATTTAAAATAGTAATATATTATCAAGCAAAATAAGTGATAGCTCCATATATTCAAAGTAATTTGGGGAAAAAAAAAAAGAGCCTCAAGATCAGTTACAGGGAGTATGAAGGAATGTGCACCACCTGCCTAACAATAAACAAAAGAAATGATGAATATTACAGGTTTGTTTTTGATTTAGAGAACTTTGAAGAACCACTAAAAGAATGAGCAATGTACATGGAAAACAACTTTGTCATCAGTATGTAGATTATTTTACAGTACTAAGAAAAAAACCAAAATCACAGTGTCTTGCCAAATGCCATTACACTGTCACCAAAGAAAGACCACTGTGACTGTTAAAAAATTGGATATAATCATTTCTGCTTAAAATTTAGTTTTGGTGTGTGTATGTGTGTATGACAGGGTCTCACTATAGGCTGGCCTCAACCTGAAGGTCCTCCTGCATCCACCTCCCTGATGCTAGCAGTATAGGCTTAAATTTAGTTTCTAGAAAACCACTGGAACATAAGTCTAAACTATATGAATCTGGTTATTTTAAGAAGAGAAAAGGAAAACAAATTATTAATACCACAGCTTGACAGCTAGCAACAGTCTTTAATCCTAAATCTGTATGTAAAGATTAATTCTATATCAACTTTTTAGTTCCAAGAAGTGTATTTCACATTCATGCCACATGAGACAGTGCAAGAGCTAATTAAGGAAAGTTAATAGGATGGTATGATGATGGCAACAAAATGACATATCACCTCCCTCTCAATTCAGCCTGAAGATTAAACCTTATCTCTTCTCAAGGTTCCTTCCACAAATAAACAGGGCTAATTTATGAAACCACATCAAAGTATCTCTCTACCAGCATTCTGAAGTGTTTTCTTGGGTTCAATTCTCCTGATAACTCACAACAAATAAGAGGAGACACACACAGACATATGAAAGCAAGTAGTGGTATTAAAATTACAGTTAGTTGAGACTAAATTCTATAGACCTGTAGATTTCAAACTGTGGTATGAACAACTGTAGGTGATGTCTGAGTATTCAAATACACAAGATTAAAAAAATGGTACAGCAGCCATTGTGTTGCTATACATTTTCATAACTATTTGGGAGGGAGAAAACTTACAAATGGAAATATGGTATAAAATGCTGACTTTTTCATGTATTTCCAAAATAAAATAGGAAACTGTGAAAACATCTTATGAGCTACTCTGAATGCTACCCGTAAGATTTAGGAAAAAGATGTTAAGAGTATATGTGCTCACTCTCCTCTGTTGTCACAGAAGGAAATATTTAAGGAACACATCTCTCGTGTTCCTTTCACCACTCCAGCTTGTCTTCAAGCCACATAAACTTTCCTTGTTCTAGTGTTCAACCCTTTTATCCCATTCTACCACTATCCTAGTCTAAGACTTTGAAGACTGAACTTGGGCTGAATACAAAAGATTGTCTTTCTAAGGCTATGGGCTCTCTCCACATCAATCCACCAGAATAAGTTATGCTATGTTAACCTTCTTCATATATTTTGAACAGTAATTTAAAAAAAAAAAATCACAAGTAATTAGAGATTCCATTATTAAGTGCCTACAAAAGAAAAACTTTACATCCACTACTTAATTTAATCTCCAAAATTCCATAAAATAAAAGCTCTACTTTAAAGAGGTGTAAAATAAGACTAGAATAATTAAACTGCTCAAGGTAACTGAGCTAACAAGTGGCAGAGTTTGGACTTTTGCCCATATCTGACTCAAAATATTTCTGTTATTTACTGAGAAGCTATTTTATTCCAACCTACTGCCCATAAAACAGCTCAAACTAAGAGGGAAAAAACCCCCAACACTGTAACTTCTCTTTCTTGTAGACATATACGGGCAACTTCCATTAAAATGTTCTTTCCAATCTCTCACTGAAGCATACTTGCACTGGACATGTATTTCAAACAGTAAAAGGGTAAGGCACATGATTTATCATTTTGCTTATACTTAACTGGCTCTCCTTCCACCTGAAGGTACTCCAACTTTTCAGTCCTCTCCTTCATAGCACACTTCCAACATACCCCATCACACTATTACCAAAAGACCTGAACTTGGGAAAATAGAAGCCATCAGGTATGAATTCCTCCAGCATTCCTTCCCAGTCACTTAGAATTATACCCATATCTCTGCCATCCTAATCTTGGTTCTTCCTATACCAGTGTGCCCCTATGCTTTTCTTCAAGTTAACTTCACTACTATGGTCTAGATCCCATCTTCTTTTGGAAGTTCAAGCTCTCACTCTATTATTTGTTCCTTTCTACACCCCACCCCTCCCCCGGCCACACTCCAAGCTGGTCTCTCCCTAAGCTCCTTCCCCTCAAACTATAAGCATGCTTATTTCTCCAATCATTTATTTCCAAAAATGCATTGCTGTTTTTGTTTGTTTGTTGAAAGGGGTTCTCACTATGTTGCTCAGCCTGGTCTTAAACTCCTGGGCTCAAGTGATGTCCCTGCCTCAGACTCCTGAGTAGATGGGACTACTGACATGTATCTCTGTGCTCAGCTATTTCCAAACATTTATCAGTATGTCCCAGGTACTGTTCTGTGTGCCAGGGTTACAGACATGATTTCTGCCCTCTAAGAGCTTATATTACAGTGAGTAAGGCTGATCAAAATTATAACTATGATTTCTGACAAACATAAAGATAATAAAATATGACGATTCAGTTGAGAAGTTGAAGATATGAGAACAAGGGGAGGTTAACATTTAAGAGTGAAGAGTGAACCTGTTATGTGAAGGCTTGGTGCAAAGCAATTTAAGATAGAGAAAAGAAAATATGCAAAGACCCTGGCAAACCATCTACATATGAGATAAGGACCCTGTAACTGGAACAGGCAGAACAATGGTACAAAAATGAAGTCTGAGTGGTAGGCAGGGACCAGATCTTATAAAACCATGGGGAAGGAGTCTGGATTCTATTTGATATTCAACTGGAAGACAATGGAGGATATTAGGCAGGGAATATCGGGGTCTTACCATTTTCAAACTTCAAATATACTAAAGTAGTTTGGTCAACATAATTAATGTTGCCACATTTAGAAATTATTCCCATGTACTCTCTAATCTGTTACTTAAAGTTAGAATTTAAAAGAAAAAAAATGCTTCAACATCTGTATTAAGTGCTATATCAAATATATACTGGCTTTAAATGAAAGTTAAAATTAGAGGGCAGAGAAAGTGTGGTTAACAAACTTGATAAACCAAACTTACCTGTTGATTTTTTTTTTTCATTTATCAAGGCGAAGTTTAGAAATTGTATTCATGATTTTACTTTACTCTTTCCTAAACTTTGAATTTCTAAACTAAAAATTCAAACTCACCTCGACATGCTTCTTCAAAATCTTGAGTTATGTCCACCCAGCTTGTATTGCTTTTTTCCATTTTTTCAGGGATACTGAGCTCCCATCCTGAATCATCATCATCTACAGAAGCTTTCATAACCATTATGCCTGTAAAATTAACACTGGTGTAAAAGAGAGGGTGTAGCTTTTAGGTCAAGAGTATGTACGAAACTGTGTAAGCATTGGATGAAAGACTTACTAGACTGTTTAAGCAGAAGTTTTCTGAGTCAAAGGACGGTACTGCAAAAAGCTATCTAATGCAATTAAATCTCACGTTGACGATACTGCTGCTCATGTAACAGACCACCACCTGCCAGGACTCAGTTTGCCTTCCCACTGGTTAGAGGAAAAAAAAAAAATCACAAGCCATCCCACCACTTGTCCAAAAAGAACCAACTCCAGAGACCCCAACTTGCAATAATAGCCACAAATGACCAAGGTACTATTTAGCATCCCCTCTAGAACCTCAGGACCCCAAGCGACAGCTACCAAAGTATCCCTTCACTTGGATGGGGTTCGTGGGGCCAACCTCTCTGGGGCCCAGCTTCGCCCGGGTTTGGGGAGCAAAGCATGCGGACGCGCCCCTATAGTCCCACCCGCCGGGCCCAGGGCTGGGGCTCACTTGAGCCAGGACAGGTTCCACGTCCGGCCACACGGGTCAGCCTGGCCCAGCCCCGACCCCACAGGGCGCGGAAGCAAAGACAGAGCTGTCGCCGCGCGGGTGGGCGGGCGCGCCTAGCGCCGGGTCGTCGCCCTGATAATATCCGGCAAGGCCGAGGCGCGCAGCGGGCAACCGAGAGGCCCGGGCTCCTGCCTAAAGCGCGGCCGGAGGGCCGGGGCCGCAGGGTGACCTGGCGTCCCTTGGGTCCGCCACACGGCAGACGGGGAGCGCTGTGGCTCTCGGACACGCGAGCGACGGGAAGGGGTCTCAGTGGCTCCACAAGAACTGTCCCTACCTACTTCTCCTGTGCCCACCCGCGCCGCCACGCACCGCCCAGGCCACGGAAATAACGATGTCGCCTCTGCTGCCGCCGCCCCCTCCCCTCTCAGCCCAGCCCCACCGGTCGCGTGCGCGCATGCGTACGCCCAGTGCGCGCGACCCCGCCCCCTCTCCCTTACTCCCGGGTACTTCTTGCTCCTGGGCCACACCCCCTTCCTCCCCACCGCCAGCTTCTCTCTTCTCGCGGGATTAGAGCAAATCGCGAGACCGGAAGCCACTTTCGTTTCCCAGCCTGAGACCGAGTACTGGCAGTGGACGGGTCCCGGAAGGGGGCGGAACCCGGGGGCATCCTGTTCCTACGCCACAGAGATTCATGAAAGGAGACGTAGGGGCGGAAGGAAGCAGCGGTTTCCTTAGGCCTTTCAGGTGGCGGGGCTGAAGGAACAGCCGGGCTCCGGCAGCTAGGGCAGGCTAGCGCCACTTGACACCGGATACACGTTTTCTAGAGAGCGCCAGAATGGTTCATGAAGGAAAAAAGAAAGTGTCAACAGCGTCAAGCCAGGGGGATGGGGAGTGGAGGTGGCACAAACAGTGTGTACAAATGTAAGTAAATGTAAAAACGATAAAAAAAAAAGATCAGCGTCAAGCCAGCCGTTTTCTTCAGACTCATGTCTTAGGTTTTCCTTAAAATTTATAATAAAATGATCAGTTTTTTAAATGGGGTTATACAAATGGACTGGCACGGTTAGGAAGTCCATTTCGATGACTATACGCGCAAGAGAATAGCTAAAGTTTTAGAAGACAGTATCTAACGTTGACAAGGGCACAAGATACTGGACCTCTCTTAGGCAACTGATGGGCGTGCAAAATGGCACCATCTTATGGAAAACCATCGTTTTCTTATAATTATACTTATGTGACCCAGTAATTTCCTAGGTATTTACCTGGAAATGAAAACATGTAGCCACACAAATGCCACATTGAATATTCATAATCAAAACTCCCAACAGCGTAAATGTCTGTCACCTGGGGATTGGATAAACAACTTGTGGCATATCCATGTGATGTGATGAACTCTAATCATCGATAAGTAGGAATCAAGAACTCAACATGCAACAACATGAATGAACCTAGCAAAAGAAACAGACAAAAAGCATGATTCTGTTCATACGAAACTCTAAAACAGGCAAATCTGACTTACAATGATAAAATGTTTGTGGCTACTCAGGGGTCAAGAAAGGATTAACTTGGGTAGAGCTTGGTGATTTGAAGAAATATTCTGTATTGTGATTATGGTGATGGTTAAGTGAGGGAACACATTTGTAAGAATTCATTGAAAATATACTTAAAATGTGTGCATTTTAAGTATATAAATAAGTCACACTTCAGTCGAGTGAGTGTGTGTGTGTGTGCTGCTGGGGATCGAACACAGGTCCTGGCTTGTGTTAGGCAAGGACTCTACCACTGAACTCTAACCTCAGCCCTCAAGTTGACTATTTTTTAAAATTAAAAAATATCATCTTACTTCTCTTACAGAATGTATTTCCTTAGGGTAGTAACTTTGTTTTCATCAACACTGTATCTCTAGCACTTAGGCACATAGTTGGTAGTCACTGAATACATTGAGGAAAAGAAAATACAAAAGAATTACAGTAAAACAGCAACATACATGCTGTTTCTCCAAAACTGTTTGGCTAGAAAAGATGAACTAGGTGCATAGGAGTCATTTCATATTATGTGTACATTGTGAAAAAAAACTAATAAGAAAGATTCATTTATTGAAAGAAAAAGACTGCTTCAAGACTTGTATTTGAAATACATATTATTTTATATAAGTTGAGAGATGGAAACTAATTTCTACAAGGCTGAATCTTATTAGTAGATAAAAACTTAACTCTTTAAATTGAAACATGAGAGGAAAAAAAGCTAAACTAAATGGCTGCATTAGGAAATGATCTATAATTATCTTCTTATGATGTTTTCATAATGTATTAATTTTATACTACTCTTTTCACAGTTTTTTTTTTAAATGCCTGTACTGTGACTTGAGCTCAAGGCTTGCTAGACAGGTGGTCTTCCATTTGAGCCATGCCCCCAGGCTTCTTTTGCTGTAGTTTCAAATAGGGTTTCCCCTGCTGCCCAGGCTGGCCTCAGACACATGCATAACTGGGATTACAAGTGTGCCCCACCACACCCAGCCCCACACATTGTTTTTAATTAGATATTCCTACTTATAAATTACTACTAATTGCCACTGTTAACTAGTCTCATGTTTTGTTTAAATATTTATGTAAACAAAATAATGCAGAATATATAATTTCAAATGAACATTTTTTTTCATGTTATATTAAAATGATGATAAATACATAGCCTCTAATCCTTGCTACTCAGGAGGCAGAGATCAGGAGGACTGCAATTTGAAGTCAGCCCAAACTAATAGTTCTTGAGACCTTATAAAGTAGGAATTTGGAATCTAAGTGTACATGGATATGTAATTCTGTTTTTGACGATTTCCCCTCTAGAGTTTATTTTCTTTTTAAAAAATTTCCACCAGCAATGTATGTGTGATGGTTAATCCTGACTATCAACTTAATTGGATTGAGATGTACCTACGAAATTAGTAAAACACACCTCTGGGTGCATCTGTGAAGACATTTCCAAAGAGGATTAACTAAGAAGGGAAGACCCACCTTAAATGTGAGAGGCACCATCCCATAGGCTGGGGCCCAGATGCAGTAAAAGGGGAGAAAGGAGAGAGCCTACAGCAGAGTTGTTTCTCTCCCCACCATGATGTGAGCTCTACTACTCTTCCCCACACCTCCCTGCCAAGAATGGTCTGAAACTGTAAGCAAAGTGAATTCTTCTTCAGCTTTTCCCGGGTAATTCGTCACAGCAACATAATGCTAACTGATTCAATATGAGTGCTCTTTCTCACAACATTACCAATACAGTATGTGGTCAAACTCTTAGACTTTTGCCAACCTGCTAAGAGATAAAAATGGTATTGCAATGAGACCTGTTGAAACTATTCCAGGAATGGGGGGAGGGGGAATAAAGGAGAATGATGGAGGGGGTGAATTCAAGTATGATATATTTGATACATTGTAAGAATCTTGATAAATGCCATAATGTACCCCCAGCACAACAATTTAAAAAAAGAAAAAGAAAGCCAATCCATACAGCACCTTTTTAACTTTAATTTTCAATTTAAAGTAATTCTTTATGTCATGATTAATGCATTTCTTTGAGGAGCATTTAGACAATACAGCTATCTATAAAATTTCAAATGCATTTGTAGTATTATGACAATTGAACAACATTGTGTGGAGTCAAGGCATTTTTCCATGTATTTGTCATCTATTTAAATTTGACTGCCATATCATTGAGAAAATATTCAATATAGTAAGGATGGTTTATATTTTATTGAAAATGTTAAGTACCAAAATTGTAGTGTTTTCTGATCTCCTTCCATGGTTTATTTGTTAGTGCATATTCCTTCAAGGACTTCTGTTAGGGATCACCAACTGCATTTGGGGTGGCTATCACTGGACAGTAGGAGTGTGTGGAGATTATAGAAGAGCCCACCTATGGTCCAATCCCTGTGCACTTTGCATGCTCTCTCACTGGTTTAAGTCACATGGAGACCACAGTAAGAAGATGATTTAAAAGGAAATTTTAGTTCTGCTCTGGCATTACTTCATTTTCCTATTGGCACAGAACTTTCTTAATTGTGACTTTTCTTGCTCTATTTTATCTCATAAAGCTTCTTCAGTTGCATTTGAAACATTTCTGTTTATGTTTTTACTAGTAAAACATTTAATGTTACAGGTTTTCCTTGGCGATGTGGTTGTTTCTATAGATTCTTATCAGATGTCTTTTTATTAAAATGTGTTTGTAGAAAAAAATGGTATTTCAATATTAATTCTGTTTAAATGAATTAACTTTTGTCTAAACATGTCTTTATACTTTGATGATATAATTTGACCCAAAGCAGCTGCAATAGTGAACTGTGTAAACAAATTGTAACCTTTGTAACCAAGTAACTGAGTCTCAACCAGTCATAGCAATTGAGCTTTAGCCAATCACAGACTGCCAACTGATTAAACCATATGCATATGCAGCAAATGCCTCATCAAATCACACCGTGACTAGGTAAGACAATGATGACTATAGCCAATCAGGTTGTCTCTTCTTTTTCTCTGGCCATAAATACAATCTACACATGTAGCATTAGGGGACATTTTGAACTAACCTCATGGGAAATGCTGCTGAGTTTTAGAAATTTTTTTTAATTGCTCAAATAAACTTAGATTTAACTCAGCTCAGATTTTTCTTTAACAGTTCTAATTTGAACTCTCTTGAGTGGAGTAGAGAATCTTTAATCTTTTCTGTTGTCATTTGTGTCTTTTTCTGTGTTCAGTCTGCTGAAAAGTCAATTTTTCCTTAGCGTTGTTGATTTTTCTGATTTTTACTTTTAAGAAGCTCATATATTAGCACTGTGACTGAAGTTGCAAACTTTTAAGCCAGTGTGTCATTTATTTGTAGTTGCTCTGTAAAAAGTGTTTTTTAGAGAGTTTTATCAATTATGGTATCATTTAGAACTAGGGATATTATTGTCTTCACATAAGAAAATGATGCAAAGAGATAAGCTCTGAATTGACTACTGAGAAACTCTAACATCTAGAAATCAGGTAAAAGTAGTGAACCTATTAAAGTAAACAGGGAAGAGGAATAACAAGCAGGAAAGTGTGACTAACCAAATCTGAGACGTGAGCATCCAACTATCTCCTGAATAACAATACTCATAGATAAAATTAACATAATACAGAGTTCACTAATGAATAAACTAATGCATAAATATTGAAACTCATAGCTTCTTTCAAACGGGAAGTGAACATAAGAAACATTAACCAATTGCAGATAAAATATGAAATTACTAAATTAGATATAGAAAGGATAGAGAAATACTGAAGAAAACATATGAATTAGATACTCTGCAGAGGAGTTTTTGTTTTTGCTATCACATTTTTTAACTTCCAAGACCTCCTTTTTGTTCTCTGAATGTTTCTTATTATACAAGAATATTGTTTATCTTCCACATAAA